GATGAGAAGCTGGTCTAGTTAATGTAACTGATGAAGGTTGAGGCATTCCTTGTATTGAAGATGTTGAATACATTATATCTAATGAATTATAATATTAATGATAGCATTATTGTTATAGTACCTGAGCAGTTAATCCCTTGATATCCAGTTCCTGTACAGTTACATGTATAATTGTTCATGCCACTAAATGATGTACACTCTCCTCCATTCAAACAAGGATTGCTAATATCACAAATATCATTAAATATACATTCAGTGCAGTTGCTGTTTGGTGAATGACCAAGAGCACAGGTTAAATTACAAACTATTAAGAACAATAAAGATAATTATAAACTACTGTATACTGTATACTTACTGCATTTATAATCAGTGTCTTCACTAGCTACATAACCCACACCAGAGGATGAGCAATCATCACTACAGTCTCCATTAGGTAAGAATACAAGACAGCAATCACCAGATCCTGATCCAGTACATCTTTCTAATCCAGTATTGCAAGCACTGTCACATTCTAGAATATAACAATTACATTGTACATTATAATGGACTATACATTAGGTTACCTCTACATCTAGTATCTCCACCAAAACCTTCCCGGCACCGATAACAATTAGTTCTTGGAGGAACACCAACAACACTAGCAGGAGGAGGATCTAAACTACCAGTCCTTCCAGTCCATGTACCACTGCTACACTCCATATCAAGTATCCTAGTTCGTTCAGATTCTCCTGGGTTACGAGTAAAGTTAGCTATAAGAGCTATGGCTTCATAAGTATTGATAGTGTCCCCTTGAGCTAGACAGACATATTGAACTGATCCCTCAGTTACATTAGGAGAGTAAGACTGATCACCATCAGAAATGATTAGTAAAGGAGGCAAAACAGTCTCTATCTCTGCTATAGTTGGTAGAGGACAATGTTGAGAAGCAGCAAACCTAAAGAAAAGAGATACAACTATCACAAGTAACTTCATCATGATCAAGACTGCAAATGTGAACCACTCCCTAACCTACTGAGCTAGCATAGCAACAACTTTAATGACAACAACAGTGCACAAGCACCATGAATATGATAATAATAAATATATTTAATGTATAAAGAGCAAGTACCATGCAAGTACAGTCACACGTGAATCTAATTAATGTGATAGTACATGATAAATACTGCTGGTGATCAAGAAAAAACAAGCTCATTTTTAAGCTGACTGCAATCAAGAAATCCAGCAAAATTGATTAACAAGTATCACTTATTATTTCCATTACATCACTTTTCATTAATCATTTCATCACTTTTGTTGTTAGCACAATTAAATATTATACTCCAATTGATTTAGCAACATTTAATTAGCTGAAACGTCTTTTCAAACTATTTCTGGCTTCTTTCTCCATCCTATCCTCTGTAAGAATTAATATTTGTGATAATAGTTAAATGATAATGATGATACTTCACTTACCTCTTTGAGAGGGAAAGTTTTCCTCTTCCCTTTTGTAGCATAAGAATAAACACTGAATGCAATCAGTCCTCCTATTATTAGTAGGAGCAGGAGACCAATCACTATTGCTATTATTACTATTATCAATGTAACTGGTGCTGTTGTAACATCCGAAGAGGACGAAGGAAAAAGATTAGGTGTTACTGTATTTATTAAAACAACTGAAGGTGAAACAGCTGGTGTAGGAGATGCAACTGATGAAGGTAGAGACACTGTATCTGATAATAATTAATAATAACATTATTTCACATTATACCTGAGCAGTTAATCCCTTGATATCCAGTTCCTGTACAGTTACATGTATAATTGTTCATGCCACTAAATGATGTACACTCTCCTCCATTCAAACAAGGATTGCTAATATCACAAATATCATTGAATATACATTCAGTGCAGTTGCTGTTTGGTGAATGACCAAGAGCACAGGTTAAATTACAAACTATTAAGAACAATAAAGATAATTATAAACTACTGTATACTGTACTCACTGCATTTATAATCAGTGTCTTCACTAGCAGCATAATCCACACCAAAGGATGAGCAATCATCACTACAGTCTCCATTAGGTAAGAATACAAGACAGCAATCACCAGATCCTGATCCAGTACATCTTTCTAATCCAGTATTGCAAGCACTGTCACATGCTAGAATATAACAATTATATTGTACATTATAATGGACTACATTAGGTTACCTCTACATCTAGTATCTCCACCAAAACCTTCCCGGCACCGATAACAATTTGTTTTTG